AAAAAAAAAAAAAAAAAAAAAAAAAAAAAAAAAACACGAAGAGGATTTATAGCATTCTTGCGTCTTTCAGACGACAAGTCCAAGAAACGTACAGTTAAAATATCTTTCACGGTAGATACACGGAGAGTAAAAGAAGAAACGTATCCAACGATCGGTACAAAAATACGCAATCTCATTTTAAGGAAGATCAACGATCTCGAGAAGTAGAAAAGAACGACTCGAAGAATAAAAGCCGATGAATCGAGATATTCGTCGTTTCGAACCAACCGACTTTGTCCCGACCCAATTTTTCATACCGGTAAAACCATCCAACGCGTTGCACAATCCAAGACAGCGGAACGCTCTGTACACTAATTTTGTCAATTTCTAATTCCTGTATATTATGTACATATAAATATATATACATAAAGGTAAAATTGAAATTCATCGGAACACCTCTGCTTGTGAAAAGCTGTTCTATAAAATGCGTAGCGAAGGGAGGCTAGAGAAAGATAAAGGTTCCTCCCGTTCTCTCGAATCCATAGCAGGAGAGAACGAGTGCTCGTGTTACGGTGTGTAAGGTATACTCGAGAGTGTCAGGTAGGCGTGTACGTATATGTGGGTCTACGTGGTTCGTCAGGACGCGGTTAAGACCTTGCACGTGCACACCACTTTTTCCTTTGCGGATGGTGATATCACCAACGAAAGAACGAGAAACAGAGAGAAAGAGAAAATATGGAGAAAAAGAAAGGTTACACCGGCGTGGCACGGTTTTGCCCGTATTTCGAGGCAATAGGAATTCGAAAGTCATCTGTTTCGGCGGACTCCGAAGACGAGGACCGGTGTCGAACCGTGTCGAATCGACGGCTAAGAAAGTAATCCGTAAGGGTGAAACGCGATAACGCGCGAAGTCGTGACCGCGCCCTAATGCTATGGGGGGTCTTACCAAGGGGCTGGCCAATATTATCCCTATCCTGCTGAGCACCGCTGGGAGCCGCTGTAACATCACAGACACCAAACAAAGAGACTTACTCACCAACATTTCCACCAACCAAATTCTTACTAATCGTGTGTGTGTAACAACGTGTTTGTCTTTCTCTTATCATCGCTTTTCTCTTTATTGTTCGTTCTTTGCTTTCTTTTCTTGTCTTTTTTTTTTTTTTTTTTTTTTTGTTTGTTCTGTCGTTTTTACGTTTTTACAGGACGGGGAAGGTATCGTTCGTATCTTTTCTTTTTCTCGGTTTTTCGCTTTTTTTCCTGCTCCTTTTTTGGTATCTCTCTCGTTCTAGTCGTATTTTTTTTTGTTCTTTCGTAGAGATTCTTTCGTTATCGACACGCGATTACCACGCGACAAAGTTACTCGAGAAGCGTTACTCTTGGATTCTCCGAGACTTGCGACTTTTACGTTCTTACGATCGAATACCACCGTGTGATCATCGTCGTTCTTCGACGTCCAGTTCTAATCTAATCGATCTATTTTTATTATCCGTCTCCTCGACAGCCTGTTTTATAGCGTTCGCGAAAACCTCTACCGCGACTCAACTCTCGTCGACTGAATTCTCGTTAGCGCGTTACCTCCTTTCCGTGTTTCTCGTAACCGACCGTTTTTTCCGAAAGTTAATAAGACTTAGGATGCACGAGACTGATCTAAAGACGCCCGTCGTCGATTACTATCGTCGCGTCAGCTTCGTTTCTTCGCATCTAGTCCATTTACGATCGCGAATCGTCGATCGATTGTATTGTACATGCAAGAAACACAAACACAATACGATCTGCCACAGCGGAGTAAGAACCCTGGTCATTGGATTTCTCGCGATCCCGACAGAACCGTAAAAATGAAAAGAGGAGGTAATTGGCTGTACGATCGTTGCGACACGGCGATAACTCGTGCGTGTGTATGCGTTACGAACGTATGAATTCGTTTTCGAATCTTTATCGGATCGAATCTTCGTTAAATGGAATCGAGAATCGAATTGGAACGAAATTGATTGCTCTGTACAAAGTTCCGCTAAAGTGCATAACGTCTGTACATAATATACAGTTACATATATTTGAATATATTCGATGATATAGAAAATATTCCTCGTTTTATGTCTGCATTCCGAGCGTACGATTATTCGTGACTCTCACTGTACGTATAAAGTGACTGACGAATATATTTCAACATCTGTCATTGGAAACTTTTACGAATATATTACGAGTGTTATACGAAACTCTGTGAAATTTCATTAGCACTGTAACGAGACACGATTGTCATAATTACATCGGCCAAATTCGAAACTAAACTTCGAAACGTTGCACAGATAACGTGCACTCGTTTAGCGAGACATCGGTATACAGCACGAGCAGTGGTTTCAAACGTATGTACGCTCGTACGTTTTGAATAACTTTCAAAGTATCTGGACATTTGCTTCTCTTCGACGAGGATATGCAGCTGAATAACCAGAAATGAACATTTCTAATCGTTCTCGCTTTTATCATAGGGTAGTGTATGTACGTTACGATTATGTTACGACATGGCGAATAATCGTCTCGTTACGATACCAACGAAAGTTCAAAATATTTGATATAACATAAATGACCCGTTCTCCTCGATCAAACCATCTTACGTAGCATTTCTTCGTTTTTCAAGGCAGATTGGAATATTCAAAGTTCCTCGTTTCCTTTAGCTCCAAAATAAAGTTACATCGTACTGTTCGATAAGAAACAACGATCAAATATTTGAAATCGAAGAAGGACAAAGATGATGGAAAAGGAAGAAGAGGATGACAAGAAAGCTTCGATCCTCTTCAGTTTCAAAATGGTAGATAAGACGTTTTGATTAAGGAGGGCAGGATTATGATATATTCGCGAAAAGTTTCATAGAAGTAGATCTTGCAGGATGTTCGATAGTTTCGTCAGTCACGATATCTCGCGATCGTAACACGCAGACACGCTGGAGAGAAATTTTCCATAAAATGATCGAGTATCGGAAACGATGGTGCGCGGCTATACCCGGGAAAGAAAAAACCGTATCGCTGTTCAGGTTAAAGATTGTAAGAATAAAGATTAGAAAATAGAGAAGATTATATAGAGAACAAGAGGGGGGGCCAAAGAGTGTGAAATTGTTGGAGACATGCAAATACTGCAGCCTCGATCGAACCCGACGAGAGTACGAAAAGTTCTTGAAAAATCTCACACGAGACCGTCGTCCTTCTTTTAAATTTCACGCTACATACCGTCACGTACTACTTACTGTTTCATACTTGCGATTCAAGTTTTAATCTGAACAAACGAACCGCGGATTTTTATGCATTCAAGGATAATCGAAAAGCGTTGAAAACGCGCGCAATACGTTCAAGTATATGAAATATAGAAAGTTCGACACCCGTTTCTATTCTTTCGTTCGTTTCGTAGGTAAAAAATTGAATTTGCATAAATATCCGCGGTCTACCAATAAAATAGAATTTCCAGAAATTATATTTCGCCGTTTACTCGTGCGCCGATTTCTCAAGAAGATTTCCTACTTTTCACCGTGTGTTATAACGCACGAATCTCGTCGATCGTATTGCGAAATTGGGAAGGAAATAAGGTGTAAGTCCTTTTGGGAGAAAGAGACAATCGAAAGAAACTATATATAGACATAGGCGTAGAGTTTCGAGAGATGCAGCGATTATTGAGTAACAAACCATACCGTGTCTGTGCAATGTTCACGCCAACGAGATCACATGTGCGAGATCAACGCGATGCGAACGCGATAAAAAAAAAAAAGAACGTTGTTTATCTTAGCGATTACTCGATATAACGCGCGATATCCTCAAAGCACGATTCCATTTCTGCAAAATCGAAGCGATTTAACGGTCGATGCCCATTCAGGAGATAGAGGAAGATCGTGCTTCGATGAATTTTTATTGCGTTCACATCAAATTACGCTTTCGTTCTTTACCTGCTTTTTTTCTTCCTTTCTATACTCGTACACTTCGCGTGTCTCGCGACAAAATTGGCGACCGTCCGCGACGTTCTTCTTTACACAGTTAGGATTTCTCGACGCATTCCACGATTTTCCAGAGACGATGTAGAAATGCATTGGCAAAGATCACGAGAGAAGCGAGCTAATCTTCTCGAACGTATGGCTACGTATCTGTTGCGTTGTCGCGTAAATTCCTCCTGTATTTATACATATATTATGCACATTGTGCGGGAGAAATTTATGCTACGACCCGGTAGATAGCTGCATTATGTATATACCGCTTTAGAACGATATTCTTTTAGGTATTCTTCGAGATGTTTTCCCAAACAGATTTTTAAACCTTTTATACCGATTTGTTGCACGCATATTTATTGATATTCGAGGGATATTCGCCATCTTTTTAATTATATTTATAATAATTATATTACAGTTCCTCTAAAACAGAATATTTTCTACCGGCTGACACGACGCTGGTCATTCTACTTATTCGAGGAAATTTTACATAATGGCACATAAATGGCGTAATTTTCATTACTTTCGCTCAAAAGGGAGAAAGAACGACGAATATTCCGCAAAAGTTAATGAATATACGCGAGAAAAAAAGCGATACAAAGAGCCTCGCAATTTCTCCGGGGAAAGATCCCGAAAATTCGTGAAAAATATCGTTCTAAAGCGCGTATAACCCGTTAATTACGTTGCGTGGCTTCCGTTGAATTTTGTTCACCGACGAAACGCGACCAACGATCTGCTCGCCCCTCTCGTTACGCGTGAAAACGAGAAAGTTGAATTTCGCGTGGAACGAAAAAGGTGCGGTCCGATCATCGACGAAGAACAAACTCGGTGTTAATCGAGTCGTCGAATGGAAGATGCACTGTGGTCGACTATTGCGAGTGTGTGTATCGTCGTCGTCTGCCGAGATAAAAGAAAAGTCTATGGTACTGGTGATTACTGCGCGAGAACGTAAATAGCGAAGGATTTCGACTGTTCGGTGTCAATCGCGCGATCAATTCCCTCGAATGGAACTGGACGCGCGCTTCCTTTACCCCTGGCATCCATCGAAGATGCTTTCTCTCGTCCAAGTGTCGTCGAGGAGAATATCTAACTCTTGTTCCACTTCGAATCATACGTAGGATAAAAAATATTCCGCGATTCCAGCCACAAGAGTACGAGATTCGTCGATTTGTCTCTCGTTTATTCTCGCTGGCGATCACTTGGATTGGTCGACGAGTCAAATCGAACTTTCATCGGTTTACGAGAGAAAAGGTTCGCGATACTCGAGGGCTCGCGTTACGTAGCGGTGAAGGGAACGTAATAATAAAAACGTAATGATCCTAGAAACTGAAAACTCGAAAGGGATTAGCGTGGAATCGATCGAAACGGAATTACGAAGTAATAAAGAAGCGTGGGTTCGTCAAAGAGACGGAGACAGAGAATAAATACGTAATGGTAATGGTAATACGTTCTCCATCAAACGTAACAGCGTTAAATCGACTACGAATATTAAAGTAATGCGAAATGTAAAACGTCATCGTACGAGTAGAAAATATATGGGAAAGTTAAGTATATCCGACGCGAAAGTATCGGTTTGCGATATAGATTCGTCCTGTTTTTATATTTCAATTTTATCGCGACGTATGTAATGTAACGTGTAAGAACAGGACGAATTTATCTTACGACCCGATTCTTTGCTTCCCAAAATAACGTTTCATCCGTTCGTTGTCTCTTACCGAATGACAAAGAAAATTCGTCGATCGTTTTTTTATTTTCGATTGACACGATATTCGTACGTATCTTCTCGCGTATTCGTATAGTAACGTTTCGCATCTCGGAAACCTTGATACCTTTAGTCGGCACACTGTTATCGCGTTTCCGTGGAAAACCTACTGCCAGACGTAGCAAGTAGGGACGAAGGCGCGATAAGAAACGAAAAAGAAACGGACGAGATCGGATGCGACAAAACGAGACGCGGGGAAACAAGAAACGACGAAAACCAAGAGAAGAAGGTACAAGAACGGACCGAATCGAACGAAAGAGAGAAACGACACGGACGAAAGTAAACAGCGGACACAGTGACGAATGATTGGAAGATCGTAAACCATTGGTGGTGACAAAACGGCAAATGTCAGGAGTAAAACGCATAGACAGAATAACGTAACAGAATCGGAGCAAGCGAATCTTAAGACTCGAGGGCATGAAGCGTCGCTCGTAGGTTTCGGTTAAATCATAGTAAACAATAAGAACACGGAAAATAGAGATAGCCAGAAGGAAAGACGAGAAACAAAAAAGAAAAGGGACAAGAAGAGAAACGATAAAGACAGTGGGTCGAAAACGTACGAAACGTATAAGTGTGGGAAATAGAAATATGCAACGTGGTGTCGGCGTGGTATCGACATCGCGCGCACGTCGCTGAGCAAAAGTACCTGGGTGACGGGATTCTCTCCAGGACGATAGACGACATTGTGCATCGGCCGTTTACGGCCGACGTAATTCACGCAGACGAACTCGAGCAAGCTGGCGTAGATGAAGCACATACAAACGCCATCCCACACGTTCATGGCAGTTAAGTTCGACACGACGGGCAGCGTCGAGCGGAAACCGTTCGACGTCGTGAAGAAGTTGAGCATCGTCGTCACACCTGCGAACAGTTCGTTCCGGCTTTTTGTCTTTTTCTTTCTTCCTCCACCTCTTTCTTAACGACATCGGCTCCTCCGCCTTACTTCTGCGCAATACCAACTTTTAAGATTAGTTTCTTTCTCTCTTGAGACCTAATTAAGGAAAGTACTTCCCTCCGATTCGCTTCTTAAAAGTCGAACAAACGGATAAAGTACTTAGTCGTAGGGACGAATTCTCTTTCTCTTTCATTTCGCAAGACAGCTGTACAAACCGTTGGAGATTTAACGCGTTGACTGCCACGCGAATTTCATTAGAAATAGATATTTTAACAACAACGACAAGAACGTGCGACGATGATCGTAAAGGCAACGAGGAGGATTCGTACGAACATACGCTTTGTCCGTCTTCGTTTGCGAGATGCAACGAATCTTCTGTTCCGATTTCGCGTCGTCCAGTCACCTTTGCAGAAGACGTTGAAAACGTTGCGTTTGCATTTACCACGTTGCATTTCCAGGTAAATCTGTGGACGCGTTGTCATGCAGCCGGTTACACTCCGGACGGCTGCCGGCGTTTCCCCGATTTCTTGAAAACTTTGCTCTATCCTGGACTGTAATGTTTCAACAATTTCGATAGGTGTTGCGTACGCGATAGATTCGTTGTATCTCAAAAACGAAGAAGACGGACGAAGCGTACGTTCGTACGAGAACCTTTTCCATTGTTCTAGTGCAGAAGTGCACAATCGGCTGCCGAAGTGAGTCCCACGTGTTCTGGTACACCCTGTATATTCGGATGTCGGATAAATCTTAAACCTTTTCTAGGCGCGAGAAACAAACTCCGTCCCAATAATTCGTAATGACGCAATTAAACCAAATATCCATTCTATCTAATAATTTTCTACCATTTATAGTGTGATGCTGTTGTTCCAGCCACTAATTTCTGAGCAAGAAAAAATGCTGTCTCAGAAAGGGCTTCGAGACTTATCCGACAACTCAACGTTTTATCCTGGAAGCTGCAATACGTTAAAATACACTGCACCATAACGATTAATTTCTCTAGCGATATTACACTGTACCTGCGCACTTTTCTCTGACAATGTTATCCAAATCATTCGCATTATGGACACGATCTTTCTAGTCCTTGAAATGTATCTTATCTTAATCGCGATGCGGGTCATCGATGACCACCGTGGTAGTCAACGTGTTAAAAGACATAGTCGAGCTTACCGATCATTACTCGCGCTGGCACCGCATTCCATTCAAGCCAGAAGGTTATGAAGGAGCTGGTCACCAAAATGATACCCGGGATGAAGACTGTTGTGAAGTAGAAGGCACGATCTCGCGTAAAAATCAGATCCACCTTCAGGCAGCTGTAGTTACCTATTGTGCGTTACATTCACATTACGATTCTATCATTGCGCTGACGCGAACAGCGAGCAATTAGTTCGATGGCGCTAAACAAGCGATTAGAATGTGAGATTATCCTTTTAAACGACATGGTTAAAGATAAGTTCAATGGAGAATCAAAGCAGATTCTGCTTTTTAAAGTATCGAATTATTTTCCTAGATTCTTTAACTTCGTCGTCGTGACGTTATCTTCAGTCTCGTCTTGTTTCGGTTTTTCTCTTTGCTTGGTAAAACACCGTCGAATTTCGCGCTAACAATGAGACGACCGTAATCGACGCTCCAAAAAGATGTTCGCTTTCTCGACGAGTTTTCTTGGCTTACTTTGAATCGGTAAATAGTTCTGTTTGCGCAATGCCGCGGGTAGGCTGATATCGGCATTCGTGGATCTCCCTCGGAGAACTCAGCTTTGTGACAAGGGGGACATAAACGAGAGAGAGAAAAAAAAAAGAGAAAAAATAGAGTAGGAACAAGAGGTCACTGTCGTGTCGCCAATCTTTCGCAACGAAGCTCCACATTCGCGAAAGCGTTTCAAGCCGAGCTAGATCTTAACGCGTGAACAGGATGAAAGTTCAAGGGAACAGGTGAACGTGAATCGAGGGACAACATCCAAGTCTCAAATAATAATTTCTATCGAAATCAACGCAACTGATAAGACCGAACGTACCAGGAGAATTGTTTCAATTATTTCGCATAACCAATCGTTGACCATCGACAAAAAGAACCAGGAGATGGTGATGTGCGTAGCGAAAAATTGATCTCGTCGATCGAAATTCAACGGTCCAACGATGCTGTACGATCTCTTTTCGTGGTATGAATAAAAAAAAAGAGGAAAAAAAAAGATGACGAAGAATGGAGCAACTATAATGAAGCAGAAGCGAAGCATAGGCTAAACGATTGAAACAAATACGGTTCGAATCACGTCCAGCATGTAATACTCGTATTTGGAACTAACGTGTAGGTTGAACGCTAACACGACTTACATACGGTTCAAATACTAATCTTTCGTAACGTTCTAAAGCACGATCTTCTGTCAAGCGATTAACAATCAAGCGTGACATATCCCTATTGGAAATACTAGAAATATCTCGATGTTAGAATTTTTAATCGCTTGACAAAGTCGCAGGCGATAAGACGGTCCGCTTCGACCCTTTGTACTCGTACAACTATCTGTTGCCAGGGAAATCTGTGTAGGAAGAGTGTTTGAAAATTCCTTGTTTATATCAACGTTTAATCGCATGTACGTTCTCGCGATTTCATTTTGGAAAAGATACAGTGGCTCGCGAAAGTACCTATTTGAACGCTTAGTATAGGATACTTTTACGTGTATATATTTGATGTGATATATGAAACGTCTTGAAATTTTATTGCCACCTTAATGGCATACGACTGTAATGTTTAGGTATATTGGAAAATTTAATATCAACGCGAATATGTACGTAGAACGCGTAAGATGTTTATCACATGTGTTTAGTAAAAGATTATTAAAGATAACACGAGTAGCAAGAACGTGAATTGCAAAGATCCGCTAATATGCGAATATCGGATTACGTATGTAAATATTGTGCCATAATAACGTAATTGACTTTGAAAATATTTTTACGGTTTCTGTGTTTCCAGGCTTATTAACTGGCCATCTTCTTATTTCCAACTTGTAAGAAAACAAGATTCGCTTTTCATTTAATCATTCTCACATCTGCTTGAAACTCGATCAATGTTAATGATCAGTCGAGTTTCATTCTGCTAATGAACCTTCAAATGTTTCCTATCGCATCACGCATCCATGTATCGTTTCTGTAAGTGTCGGAGCACTTTCGTGAGCTACTGTACGTACACGGTTCAGGTTGGACGCGAATCGATGTTTTTCGCGTGTCCGTCATAAAATAACGCAAAACGAGTACAAAAAGTTAAAGCTACCGTGACATGACGTTCATAATACGTAACACATCGGATCTATTACTTGGGACAATGTTTCCCAAATTCCTCTATCGTGGACAGTTCTTTCTTTTTTCCTATATTAATTTCCTATATTTAATCCAAGCAAAAAAGAAAAAACACCACAATTTCCTTCCCCGTCCAAGGAAGAGGACGATTTGGGAAGCAGCAACTCTGAGTGTCTAGGCCTGTCTCATGAGTTGGTAAGCTTGGTCCTGTCTCTCTCTCTCTCTCTCCCTTTCATAGCTTATCTAAATCTCTTTCGCGCGGTCTTCTTTTTTTCTTGCGAATATCATCTCTTTTTTTTATTTTTTTTTATAAGAAATACCGTTCATATCGAAGGGGAGGATTTTACCTTGCTCCTCAAATCTGCGCTGGCACAGCGAACACTTTGCGTCCCCAAATTCATCGAACTCGTCCTCGTAGTCGACCACGATCTGTCCCTCAGCTGCAACAGAACAGCCCACGATCTTCCTTCCTCTCTTCTTTCTATCTTTTATTTTATTTATTTTTTTTTTTTTTACTTTTCCTTCTCTTGTTTTCTATTTGCATCTCGTTGTCTTTATCTTTTCTTTGTTTGCTTTTTTTTTTCATATCGCTGTCGAGGGGACGGATAAATCTTGATCTCGAGAGAGGCTCGATCGATATGGCTCTCATGGAAAAGAAAAAGAAGAAAAAAAAAAACTCCGGCGTTTCTTGGAAAAGAATTTCGTGTCAGGAGCTCCAGGAGGGTATCGAAATGTCAAGGATAAGTGGAACGGTATTCGTACCGCACGAATTGAAGCGCGAGCTGAGAATATACTTGCTACACTAAGACGCGTACCCTCTTGACACTGATCAGCGAGCAAGGTTGAAATACCAATAAATGCAATTAACAAGTCGGTAAATCATCGGCTAAATCTTTCCTTCGCGTGTTCTTTCCTTTTCTCTCTATTCCTACAGTGTGAAAGGTGAGTCGTATTTTTGCGTGAACAACGAGAAGACGAAACAGCTGATACGCGTGTACAAGCTGTATGTAAGTTCGACGACGGTTTGATTTCGCGAAGTGTATGTGTATGTGTGTGTGTATGTGTGTGTATACGTGTGAAGCGTTGACTTGTAGGCAAAGACAAATTTGGCGGTGAACGCGGGAAAGTGTAGAGATTCGAAGGTGTGGCAAGATCTATCCGTCCTCCTTGTTCGTTGTCACATGCGGCCGATTTTGATTTTCTATTCTGCGACGATTAAAATTCCGGCAACGATGCCTTCGTCGAATACGAAATAAATCGTGTCTGAATTGTACGGGCACAGAGGAAATTTAATCGTTGGGCTAACTAGACCAAGCATTACCCGCATACCGCCATGGTTGATCCCTTTAGGGTAAAGGAGAAACGCGAGATTAATTCCTTTCGGTCAAGTCTTACGACGTCAACCTGTCCAATCAGTGACCGTTCGTCTTAAGAGCATCGAATTTAGAAAATTTGTCTGGATTAGGTGAAAGAGAAAAGCCGCTCTCTCTCTCTCTGCGACCTGAAACGAAAACGATCTTTCACCTTGTTTCACGTTAATGGTTAGAATAGGTCGATTTCTCTTTGGGAAAAAATAGAGGCGAAATGGTGTTCTGTGTGGTTTTCACTCCACAAGCTGCAGGTATCACGCTTTCGACAAAAACGTTCAAGCTTCTCACTAGTTGCGAAAGCTGTTTAAAGAGCTTATAAGCGACCAAAGTAACGATTACGAAACAATTAGCTCAAACAAGATATCTCGAATCGTTAATTACAGAGCTATTAGCGACACATTCCTTTTTCATTTTTGCTTTTTTCTTTCCTTTTTTTCTTTTCTTTTCTTTTTTTTTTTTTTGTTCTTATCGTAATAGGAAAAAGTCGTATCCGAACGTCTATTGAACTAGTAATCGTCAAAATTATCGAGACTATTTGTCCAGCAAAGCAACGAGAGGCTCGTGTTCACGAGTAAGATATATATATATGTGTGTATTATTCTATAATATGTATATGTATATAATTTGAAGAAATTCGCGACGACACGACGGTGCAAGGAACAGAGCATAGGAGAAAGATGGCATCGGTGAGGGCATTAATGTAATATTAGGTCACTGAAAAATTGAAGGCCTCACCCCAAAAGCAAACCACGGCGGGCTCGGTTATAAAGCGAGACAGGAACCAAGGTTGCCAATATGCACTTTCTAGAGGACTATGTATATTAATCTAGATAGGTATATATTCACATCTAAATATATTAATGTACAAACATATATATAAATATCTGTATATACACACGTAAAGAGAGAGAAAGACAATACGTGTACATACAAGAAATGTATCTACGTCAACTAGAAAGAAAGGTAGAAACAAAAACGAACGTTTCTTATATTTTTTCTTTTCTTTTTTTTTTTCTTTTTTCATAGTTCCGCTACGTCGCATGCAGAGTTCGTTCTTTCTTTTAGATTTTTCCTTCTTTTCTTTTCGATTCTTTTTCGTTGTTCCGATTAATCGTTCCATACGCGCACGAATCTATCGTAGAAAGTTAAGCATACGCATTCTCGCGTTCGCTCGACGCGCCGCTTAATAAGCGTTGCATAAATTTTCGGGTCGTATCGATCCCCGTTTTTCCTTCGTTATTCGAACCTATACTGCGGGATAAGCCAACAAACTCACGAAAACATTTCACGGTCCTTCGTCGAATAAAGCGTCCTATCGTAGTGTCATTCCGGTTGATGCAGTGCAAACAAGGTCAGGCATCGGGTAGAAATTAGCAACGTCACATCGATGTGCACGGCGCATGCATTGCGACTTACCTGGCGATTTAAGGAACGATCGTGAACGCGGTGTATGGAGATTCGTCGTTCTGATGATCGTTGCAAACACGGACGGACAAATGAAATGCGAGCAAAGGGGATAAAGAAGAAAGAAAGTTGGCAAACAGGCCGATGAGCAGAGAGGGGCTTGATGAGACAGCGGAAACGAGGAAACTTAAACGATTGATAAATCTGTTTTCGACTGAAAAAGAAATGCGAATCCGAAAGAAAGGGGATGATAAGAGAAGCTCGAAAACGGACGCCGTTCGGATTCCAAAGGGGAAGATAACGGTGAAATCTCGCCTCCTTTCGAATCTCGGGACGAAGAAATTTCATCCTTCGCGCGGCGTCTGTATTTTCAAGAGAAACGAGAGCTTTCGCGTGGATCAAGCGCGGATCAGACAAAGGCGACGTTATATGAAATGGCCGATAGTTAGCAGATTAGATAAAGGCGAGGGTATGGGAAAAGACGCGAATAATACTAGGAATAATTTTTCGGTAATGCCAGCCGGATTTATCGATCCGCTGGCGTAGTCCTTGGAAACGATGCTGGAATTTTCCAGGAATGCAGCGAAGGTTTAAAGGATGCAGCGCTTCAGGTGCATCGACCTACTACTAACGAGTGATTGCGACTCTTCCTTGAATATTCCATAGGTATTACGGTTTCCAAATTCAGCTACAAGTTATACGACTGTACACTCTTCGTCTTTCTATCGCCTTTTTCCTCTTTTTTTTCCATACGATGTCTTTTTATCGTTCACTTCTTCCGGCATGTTTTCTAACGTAGCAAAACTATCTGCTCAGGCATCGGATTCAAATCGTTTAGGTCATCCTGAAAATTTCCACGATTTTCCAAGCATTGAAAAGATATCACGCAGCACCTCGCATGTCGGATTATATTTCTGGACATTGAAAGTTTCGTTTTTACCATGTCTTAATGATCTTGACAAATCTTTTACGATATCGGTAGATCCAAACAACTTTCGGATTACCTTGTTTCATCATCGAGAAACCTTTAGCGACCTTTGTCCTTGAATACCCTTTGAATAACCTTTAAACGACTTTAACGATCATGTGTCTATGGCATCTTCCGAAGTCACTTTCATTCCATCGGTTTCCTAAATAATTCTGTTAAGAACCTGATGAGAACACTTTTGGGAACAGCAGAACGTTCTGCTTCGTGTTTATGTCGTCAGTAGATTAGGTAGGATAGAACCGTTTAGAAGTAGCAGTTTGACTTTAGCTCCGGGATAAGCGATATCGGAATTATTAATTAAAAGTGGCAACGAGCAAAGATATTGCAACATTGTTCCTTAGGTTTAAGAAACGTAAGATACCTGTATTCAAAACCAAAGGAAAGAAGTTAGAAACAGATTACATCCTGAAAAAATGACACGAATTTTAGGTAATTAAGAGTTCCTTTAAATGTATCACGTTCGCACGAATATATCGACGACCGTGCCTCGATTAGAGCTTTCTCATCTTTGCATATCGTGGACGATTTCATTATTCAAATTCCCGAAACTTTTCGTTTAATTCACCTCGATTTTATCAATAGCATTCAGATTATAAAATTACGAACTTATCGTCGGTGTATCATTACGAATTTGTCGTATTTCTGTAACTCTTGCAAGTAGTTTGGACAAATTTTTCCTGCATGCTAATACTCGGAAACTCTTTGCTTTTACGTTTACACAACCGGACTGAATTTTAGCGGAGGTACACGCGTTGTTTCGGACCGCGTGGTTCAAAGTCGCGAAACCTTCAAGATGACCAATAACGATAATATAAGTAGGCATAATCGCGTCAGGTCGTATAATAGACAATACAATAGTTCAACTCGAGAGTCTTCGAGTGCGTACACAAGCGACACTAAAATCGTTTCCGTGGACTAACGAAATGGCCGTGTTTGGTGCATTGCAACAGTACAGAAGCGTGTCATTTAAGGATGCAGTAAAAATCATAAAAGAGAACTGATAGCGAATAGAAAATGGTATAGTCTCGGCGTCATTCTTTTTCTCTGATTGGTTTCGATTATTTATAATAATTCGATGATAACTCGATAGACCTAACGATGCATTTATCATACTCCAATATCAATAGTATCATCGTACAGTTCAAACAGTTGCGTCAGAGAATCGCGTGACGAATGGAAGATCGTAACGATGTAAATCGCGATTTTCAGAGTTTATTTCTCTCACAGTTAATTAAATTACAATTTTATTCTCCATCGAGATATTTAATTTCATCGATGTGAGAAGATACAATGGATTTCTCGTAACGATAAATAGGCGAATGTCCGGGCAAATTCACGTTCTTGTCAACTGAATGAAAGAAACGAACGTACTAAAGTAGAATAGTAAATATATATAACAGGAAACGTAGATTTCCAGAAGGTTGTTAGATAAGAAATAGAAACGAAGGAATTCACGTGACCGAGGCAATTTCTAGCCAGTTGCATCGGATCTTGAGAATCGAAATACGATACAATTGTCAAAACTGAACGATGATACTTCAAAGATTCTCGTGTTTCAATTATCATCGCTGCCTTCTTTTATCCTAAGTTTCTTTCCTTAGTTTCAAGTATTCACTTTAATAGAATAAACCGTTGATTCCACAACTCACCTCTCCAGCTTACTTTGATCGGACACGTGATTGTCTGGTTCTTAATGAGGTATGCGTTCAGCGACGTTAGACTAGGACTCTTCCGCAACGTACCCTCGTCATTTTTCCACACGTACGTGATCGCCGATTGCTCGTACGATACTAAAGAAGAAGGCAGAAGATTAAGACAGGCTGCACAGAGAAAATGTCGTTTGATCGATCTTAAGAAACGTATTCTTGTAATATTCACTTACTGCTCTCGATCGCGAATGAACACAGTGGGTCATCGAAAGGGAAGATATTGAGTCTACCCTGGCAGGATAGGATGAGATGACGCCTATAAGATCGAAAGTTCTTCGTGAAATCGCGAATGTCGATGATAACATGTTTAATAAGATTATCCAAATCGACGAGTCTTAGACTTCATTTTCGACTTTAAACTTTCATCACGCGGTAATCCGCGTTATCAGCATGTTGCGCTTCGTTAAGGACACTTTCTCAGCTTCGCTTTCTCAGCGCGGATAAGGAAAAACCTTCTTCTCGGATCCGCACCGAAACCACGAAACGGAACAAGGCACAAGGTGTTAATATTAGGCGTATGCAAAACTTTTAGTCTTTTTCTCTCGTCTCCTTCGATTTATATAAGACACGCGCGTTACGAATCGACGTTCGGAATATTTTCCCTCGTTTCGCACGACTTTCCGTCAAGTCTCGGATTCCGTCGCCGGAACACTGACATTGCGACATTTTCCGCAACATTTCGAAAGTGCTGCTCGACTAAAGACCGTCTAAAAGCGACAATCTGTCGGTGTGAGATCTGAAGAGCACGCCGCGTGCGGAAGAATTTCCCAGCTCGTGTTAACACTTTACCGATCGATAGCCTATTAATCGGCCTTTTATCGCCGACAATCTTTCTCATTATTCGAGCAGTAATTTGTTATTTGGTACTAAGGTACCTTGCTAAGTCGCGTCAGTTGCGTTGCTCTGCAAGCTCCCACAGTTTTATACCAATTTGAGAGACTTACCGTTCGCGATGAACGAAAGGAATGGTATTGGAGAGTTTACACCGAAACAGAGCCGGCGTCAGGGAAAATCCGCGTCCGAGCTGCCTGTCGGACGTGCGTATGCCGTTGAACCGCTAGCTGCGAGTAAAGTGTTAAGCAGGGCGATTCCAGCCACGTGCGACCTAACGCTCTCGTCATCGTTTATCTTGCTCAAGGTTGTTTCGCACGGTTATTGTCACCGATCGATCATCAAGTTGGCGTTTCAGATGCGTCAATACCGACCAGACAATTGAAAGGAAAGGTGGCAAACGATATCGGTCGAAGGTAAAATTTTCCACGAACGCCCGATGAAAAGACTAAAACTTTGGCGTACACGCAATAACGCGATCGAAAGCCGAAGAATCAGAAATATGCCGTTCCAAATAATCACCGTAAAGTCTAGATTGCCTTTCGATATAGAAACGCATCGGCTTGCAATAGAAAATGGAGATAAATACCGCATAAGGTAGTTGACCGTGCCGTTGCGATATATCCGAAGGGCAAAATGAACTGGTATGAGCGGGTCCTTGAAGTCTCCGTGCATTATGAAGTACGTGTCCGGCAACCAGATATCATCGTAATGATGAATCGCATTCAAGTACTCGTACTGCGACCGATTGCTGTATCGTAATCGCGGGTCGTACCACTGTTGTTGCAGCAGGAATTCCACCTCGTATTTCTGTCGATAAAAGAAACGCAAGGACCGTTACGAAATTCCAACGATCATCGTCGAATGAAATATGTAGAGGGGCACGTTTTAGCGGCCTTGGTGCACCTGGTGTGTCCACGAAAGATTTACGGCGACGCGTTTCGCTATTTCTCTCCTACGACGATAAGTTTCGACGAGCCAACTTATCTCATCGAAAGGACGAAAAATATAAAACGAACCGCTCGTTCCACGATATTATAAAATCAAGGTGTGAAAGTTACGCTGCTTCTCATGAAAAATGAATTTTTTCGGGAAATTTTAAGGTACAACTGTTATCTTTAATCGCTAGTACGAACATAGCGATATTTAAATATATCTAAAGGCGAAGTACTCTCACCGTTTCCCATTTAAACAAAAGCGAACAATTTTCCATAATTTTTTCGAGAAAATTTAAGAAGTAACTGTCACTTGCGGTCCCTGGTATAAACGCAGTTATAAATACGAATTTTTCATCCTGATCTTTACGCGTATAACGATCACTCAAGAAGCCAGTCAATTCTTACACGCCATTGTAGTGATCCGTAGATTGTTTAGCTTTAGTTCTGTTTTACGTTTCGAAACTATGCGAAACCAAGTGCAATTTTGTAGGCCATCAGGCTGAAATAAATAAATACGATACAACAGGAACGTTGAGTCGGACAGACGCACAACATTCGTACGCGTGGACAGATTTAATGAGAGAAAATTGGTCAATTACCAAACTGGATTCGTCGGGAGAAGCCAAACTTAACAAGAGCACGCTCACGTTTACGGTCAAGGTTCCTGAAACACAGTGTACGATTGAGATTAAAGGCTCCACCGGGCACTTGTTCGAAGCAATCACCAGAAGAGCACGCTAATTCGAAAAAGAACATTCTTCGGAGGGGAGACATCTCGCATCGGGAAAGGGAATCGGCATTACTCAGAAAGTTGCTGGCTAATCTTTTAACTTCGACATAGTCTCACTTGCAAACATCGGTTGAAACGTGTTTGACATCAAGCGGTGGCAAAGCAGAAATAGTCTCGGTTTCCCTAACTCGTGCGAGTGACTTGTAAACCGATCGATCGATCGAAGGTACACTATGGTTTACGAAAGCGTTTGAACCTGCTATGAGACAACTTTTATGCCGCGTATCGCGTGTGCTCTATAAAACAACGCATCTTGAAAATTCGTTGCCACTGTAACGTGACGTGACTGGCACGATCGTATCGAACGAAAATTTCAAAGCGATTCCAAAATGTACATACAAGTTGCGACATGTTTATTGCGAATATACGTCGGATAAAGAGTTAGTACGCGACATGAACAGCCGTCTCAAGTATGCAACAAGTGTCAAACATCGTCTTAGGGAATATTTTATCAACGTTTATTAATGTAATGGTTAATCGACTCCTTGACGAGTTTCCTGACGAAATATACAGAGTGTACGGTAACGTTTCAAGGGACTCATCTCCAGAGTGGACAGCAGACACGAAAGCAACGAAGGAAGTTCATGGGAACACGCGTTCCGTCTGATCTATTTCTGCGTTTCGATAATCCGCAACTGTTTACTCGGAATGGGCTACTCTCGGTTTGTACGCAAGTGTCGCAGTCGTCGCGTCGAAGAATTTCTCAATCTTTCAAACATTCCAGGTGTACGTCGAACGACACGGACCGAGTGTGGCCGTTTCGGATCGTCGAAACGCTTAAAACACAAAAATGGCTGTAAATTTGCAAGAAGATCGGACGGAACACGCGTTCGTACAAACGTTTTTTTATTATTTCTACCTCGTGTTCGCTGCTGGAGTGTTACCACATTCTCTGTATACTCGTGTCAAATATCCTGCGATTTTCATAGGTTACACGAACGTACATCTTCGAACGCGTTTCAAACTTTGTCGATGCACGTATAATATAATCACGCAAGTCTCGTGACATGAAAAAGCAAAGGAAATTGGAAAATGTGCAAGTATAACAGACGTAATACTCGCGCATAAAGCACATGTACGAGTCTTGGAACGCTTTCGTGAGCCTGTGCACGTACGATCATGCCGATCTCAACACTCGAAACTTCGATCCCGAGTTTCGGTCTGCGATCCCGAGATCGACATGTTGCTGTTCTTCTATTTCTCTTTTCCTTCTCTACGCCTTGCCAGAAGCCGTTGCTTGTTATCGCGAAAGCGTCATTAGAGCCATGCTGTGCACATGCTGCGACTAAATTTCGTGTTTGTATATTGTGTGAAGCTCGTAGTCGGAAAGTTAGGACTCGAGAACCGGTCGTCGAGAGGCGCGATAGCACGGCGACATTCGATCGAGAAGAGGATCGCTCGCAACGGAAACGGAAACGGTAACGGAAATGGAAATGGAAATGGAAACGGAAACAAAATGATCGTTGCAGCGATGCTCCGCCGGGCGAACGGTTTCATTTTCGCTGCACGCCCTTGTCTAATCGATGATGTGCCCGACGCGCGGCGTTTCTCAAAGTGGAACGACCAATTTGCACCGGCACTGTTCGCGTGTCACGCGTCTAACGAGTCCTAACCACCGATCCGATATAATTGCCAACGCATTCCACTACGGCAAAGACACGGCAAAACGCGATTGCGTTTCAGAAGTTACGTAGTACGGTGTCGTGAAATACGGATGGAATATGGGGCAAGGATGGAACGTGATGATATTTAGAAATCGTATCTCGACGATCGAGGAACAGCCTGTTGGCAGCGGCTCTCCGCGACCAGGTGTCGTCTTCGGCGATAGAAACATTTTCGCCGGGTTGTAGCTCGACGTCGACGAGAGATAGCGAGAAACTGTACAGGAGAAAGTTAAACGGCGTGATAAGATCTCTATGTTCGTAGGTTTTCTAGTACTCTTCTAGTACGCAACGATGCACCGGCGAAGCGCGAATGCACTCTTCTCTCGAACGACGCTCTGTAAGTTTTCGTTGATCGTTCGGTGGCAACTTTGAATCGTCTAGTGTCAAGATACTTGGGTCGACGAACGCTTGGTTTAAAAGATACGTGGATTTTAACTTCGCGAAACTGTGTATACGAGAGACAAGGAAAAAGGGCGGAGTGGTTGTGTTCACGTTTCCCTTGTCTCTTGTACGTTAAATTCGGTGGAATTGAAATTGAAATATCTTTTGGATTAAGCATTTCTCCATCCAAGTGTCTTTACTTTTTTCCAGAGAATTGGAAAATATTTAGAAAATATTACGGAGTTTCGTCCGAAAGAAGAGCGCAATTGAGATTTCTCGGTGAATCGTTGCATACTAAGAAGAACCGAGATTGTATCGTGTCATTCAACTTTTCCCTGTACCGTTTCTCTCTATCTCTCACCAATTTCGGGATACGACTCGACTAGGTTCCGTAACGCATCTTGTACAGTGAAGAACATAATTGAACCTGCTTTACGAACCATTTTTTATTATCCCTAACATTGCAGGTATACAAGAAATTCGTACGACAGACATATTTCGTGCAATTGAAGCTAAGCTAAACAATTTTTGTTCGATGCCTAACGAGAAATATTCGTGGATTTAAGCGTGTTTCGTACTGTACAACCATAGTTTGATCGTAGTTGGATTGTTGCGTCGGATAAGCTGCGGTACAACGAGTCCGGCATCTATCGGTATAAAAATGATTAGATTACAAGACTCTTATGAATCTCCGCTGGTAGCGAGAATCGAAAAGCGATAGAGCGAAATTGATCTTGAGACAAAATCTCGTACAAACTATAGCAAAACGCATCGAAACGATCTTAAGAAGCTAAAGAATTTAAAATAAATGAAAGACCGACTAAAGACATTGGACAAATTGAAAAATCGTTTAGCTTATCATTAACCGTGCAAAATATTTCTGTTACGTTTATTTTTCGTATACCTTAATGCCGATGGTAAATAATAAGTTGTTCGTACAAAACTCGTGGTTGTTATATCGCGATATCGGTGCAGTTATGTTCTACACTGCGCACCAGGATTATGCAATAGACAATAAAAAAAAAAAAAAAAAAAAAGAAGAAAGAAATCGACGCGTTATCGAACCGTGAACACGCCGGTTTTCCTGCTGGTTTTTGATAACAGCCGCTCTATTATTACGTCGGTGAAACGAGCAACAATCGGCGGGGCACATCGGACACGAACGTTGCCAGGCTCGAAAAGAATGTCAGATACCGCGATCGGTAAGCAACGCTTTTACGTCCTCTTAACACGAATGTCCCGTTTCGAGCTTCGCGTCTACCAACAACACAACTTTTCTAGTCTTTCTTGTTTATGCTGTTCGAATCACGAGCCAACGTTTTACGAAGTAACGTGGTAACGTAAAAGATTTATTCAACCGAGCTGCCGCGAGTATTCTCTGATTGTGCGTGTGTTTAAGATCGAACAGTCGAAGGGTTTAGGAATAAAAAAAAAAAAAAAAAAAAAAAAAAAGAAGAAAGAAATCGACGCGTTATCGAACCGTGAACACGCCGGTTTTCCTGCTGGTTTTTGATAACAGCCGCTCTATTATTACGTCGGTGAAACGAGCAACAATCGGCGGGGCACATCGGACACGAACGTTGCCAGGCTCGAAAAGAATGTCAGATACCGCGATCGGTAAGCAACGCTTTTACGTCCTCTTAACACGAATGTCCCGTTTCGAGCTTCGCGTCTACCAACAACACAACTTTTCTAGTCTTTCTTGTTTATGCTGTTCGAATCACGAGCCAACGTTTTACGAAGTAACGTGGTAACGTAAAAGATTTATTCAACCGAGCTGCCGCGAGTATTCTCTGATTGTGCGTGTGTTTAAGATCGAACAGTCGAAGGGTTTAGGTCGAACAACGTTTACACGCCTCGCTCGAATCCTCCGTGTCTCGCACTACGTCCAAGATCACGTTTATTCGAGCGAAAAATTGCAACTCGAGCTCGATCGAAAAGTTTTCTCAACACTAGAACTATCTTTGATGTCTATTTAAATAAATACGTCGCACATGATCGGTTGCAATTAAACTGCTGTTACAAAGCTAAACCGATACGATCGCTGATATTGGCACATGTCGCTTATATTACTAAACCAACACAAATTATACATAATAAATATATATATATGTATAATAATTTGATACGCGGTCAATGCTATTTATAATCACGTTTCGTTTCGACAGAAGCGAACGTTAATATCACGAGAAACAGTGGCGTGTTTTTAGCGATTCGAAGAACGAAGAATCAGTCGCTTTGAGCAGAGTTTGGTAGTTCTAGTGTTTTAAAAATATAGGGACCGAGAACCGAGAAAAGCTTTCAAAGAGCAGAGTCTTGTTGCTCTTGCCAACAAGAATATACATGGAAGCAGAAAACCGTAGTGGTTCGGCTAAAAAATCGATCGACCTATAAACCCTCGTACGGAAATTCGACTAGCAACCCATTCAGGATTCCATATACGCCCGTACGTTTCAACAGTGTCCTCCGTTATATACAGCTATACACGGTACACACTGTCAGCGATTACGTTCGCCGGAGAATCAAGGGCTTCGTTCGATAAAATAATAATAGTCGAAACGAATGAACAGAGACGGACGAAAGAGGCGGCAACGAGACGCGAAAGAGAGGAGAGAACGCGGCGAACTGAATGGGTCGGGTCGGAATGAAAGTCGTGGTTGCCTTAATTATTTCTCTAGACGAGGTTACGAGAGAAGTAAAAGCAGAAGGACGGACCGCGAAGGTGGGTGCGAAGGTGTTGGTGCGACGTGTAGTGGTTATTGTTCTGGTTCTTGTACTGGTTCTTGGGGTCGTTAGAGGAGGTCGACGACCGGTTCGACAGGCCGGTGG